ATCTTGCGTTGTTTTGTCCAATTCTATCATGAAAGTCCAGGTATTCCCTCTTGGTTAAATTCCCGAAGTTATGAGTCCATAAGCCTCGGGTTGACGGTAGGTCTCTCGATTCAACCTCGAAGAGTCATCATTGTCATCTGTCATTGCAAAGCTACGGTTCCATGACTTCAAACGCCACAAACTTGGTATTCTCAAACGAACTACTACAAACGTCTTACTGTGGGGCTTAGCTCCCGCTGATATCAACTTTGGGTTGGATGATTAGTGCAAAGATCACTCTGGCCTGGATCTTCACGTTCGCACAAAACCCTTCCTTCTCTCCTAGGAAACTCACCCTAAGAAACTAAAGATCACGGGTTTTCAGGTTCTCTGAAACACTGAGCCACAAAGCCGTGATAACTTCGATCCAAGTCTTTGGTCTAGCAACGCATTAGTTTACGGGTGGATGTATGGATTGCTACACGACCCCCAAGAAATGCAATAAGCCGTTTTGCCAAAGAATGGGAGCAAAGGTTATTTTTCCAGTTGGCCAATCACAATCTCAGCTTTGAGACGCCGTGCAACGCTGGCACAACCGCCTAATTTGGTGAATAAGCAACAAACGATGTCGGAGTGGGCGGATGCCAAGAGCATGTGACTTGGCTGGCAGTTTTTCGCAATCGCCAAATCGAGAGAAAACGAATTCTGAGCTGGGAAGAATAAGCAGATCATGAGACTGGAGGCAGCTTTGTTGGTAGTAAGGTGACGGGACGGGGATCCGGGTCGATGTGGTCATGCGCCGGAGGAGATGAGTCTGGGAGGGTGAGCCGAGCACAAGCCCCCAATCGGGAGCTCCGGTTTGGCCGGGCTGGGGAGGCATGAGGGAGAAAAGAAAGAAAAGACGTTGGGCGAGGGCAAAGGAGATAGTAGGTACTGGACTTTACAGGCGTGGTTGAGGGGTAATTAGAAGTTAGTGATAAACGGGAGCGGTTCTGTTCCCTAGTGGTTGATGCGTCTATGAACACCAGGCAGCATGTCGACAACGTCACAGAGCGATTGCCAGCTCTCAGTGGAGCCACCTTGCGGAGACCGGGGATTTCAAACCCCTGCCGTGGCTGATGGCGAGGGAGACGTGGAATTGGCCAGCGTTACTGCTCTAACAGTTTTTGTGCGCGCCTCAGGCCGCAGCTGAGACGGGCGCATCAGGCTCCGCTGAAAATTAGGTACCAAGGCGCGTGGAACCAGGTTGCCCGGCACTGTGTGCGAATGCCCAGGCGCGCAAGTACGTAGCTACTTCGGTTGCCTTCCACAGCGCAGCTCCTCGCAGTCCGTGGCCCGTGTCCGTTTGGCGACTTCCTTACTCAATCCCAGGTTGAGCTTTTACGAACCTTCTTGCATCACAATCACACTCACTTCCCCATACCCCGAGATTCCCACTCCCACCCAGCCGAGCATCGATCCCTCGGCGAAACGTCACTTTTTACACCTGCGGCACTGGCGCTGCCGTTTTTTTCCGCGGGTTTCCCTGACCTTACTTTCCGATCGGGAGTACGACGCCTGAAAGCTGGTGCCAACGAGGAGCGCGCTTCGCAAGATCCGCCCAAAGGACCCATCGGCCGCGAGCATCACGCATCGTCGTCCACCACCGCAATCCATCCTCCCATCAGCCATTTTCGACGGGCGGCGTCGATAGTTTACATTTGAAACCGTCGAGATGCCCGGCAAGACACCCGACAAGGAGCCCGTCGAGAACGGCGGCTACCGTGGCGGCAAGGACATTGATATGACGGACAAGGACCTGAAGCCCAAAGGCAAGAAGTCCATCAAAGACGGCGATGACGAGATGACTGTAGTGGTCCCTCCATCAAAATCTTCCAAGCACTCGTCTGCACCACCTCCGAATGATGCCGACGGTGACGTCGCTATGGATGACTCGGACAAGGCCGAGGATGGCGCCGTCAAGGTCGACCCCATCGTGCAGACCATCAGCGGTATGCAATCTCATTTGATTTCGCGCTCTGGGCATACGGACACTAATCTCGATCGGTACTTGCAGATATCAAAAGCAACTTCGCGCTCTTGGATCGCGCCGTCACGCTTTTCGACGCACGCTTCTCCCTCCGAGCCTTGCGATCGATCTCGTCCATTCGGAAACGACTGACGCCAGATATCCTCGCTCAAGTTATATCAGAGACCTTCGCTGCAAACTCTGCCAGCAGTCACATTGCCAAGGGCCTCTTGTTGGCGATGGGGAAGGGAGATGTGTCTCTGGGTCGTCAGCCCGGCCCCGAGATGGAGATTGACAGCGAACCCAAGTCAAAGAACGGCGCAAGGAAGGAGGCAAAGGAGATCATTCCGGAGATCGACATTTTCATCGGTATTTTGACGCAAGTTCTTCTTTTCGACAGCAAGCAGACCCAGCGCGGCTTCGAATTCTCGAGTCACTTGGCCAGCCGGGTCCAGTCACTCAACCGCCGCACCCTCGATAGCCTCTCGGCCAAGGTGTACTACTATCTGTCTCTGTTCGCTGAGCAGCTCGCACCTTTGCCACCGTCTCCCCAGTCCTCGATTGTCTCCATCCGGCCCACCCTCCTCGCTGCTCTTCGGACCGCTGTTCTTCGCAAGGACACTGACACACAGGCGTCTGTTATCGTTCTCCTCCTTCGAAATTACCTTTCCACATCGCACATCTCGCAGGCCGATCTCTTGGTTTCGCACACACAGTTCCCCGAAAATGCCGCGAACAACCAGGTTGCTCGCTTCCTCTACTACCTGGGCCGCACCCGCGCCATCCAATTACGCTACACCGAAGCTCATGAGCATCTGACTGCGGCGACGCGTAAGGCGCCATCTAGCGCCTGCGCGCTTGGCTTCAGTCAGACGGCGACCAAGCTGTTGATGGTAGTGGAGCTGCTGATGGGCGATATTCCCGACCGCGCCACTTTCCGGCAACCTGCGATGGAGGCGGCCCTCCAACCGTACTTCCTTCTGGTCCAGGCTGTTCGTGTTGGAAACCTCGAAGACTTTGAGATCATCATCGCGGATCACGCAGATACATTCAAGCGCGACGGTACATACACCCTTATCCTGCGCCTTCGCCAGAACGTCATCAAGACGGGTATCCGCATGATGAGTCTGAGCTACAGCCGTATTTCGCTCCGGGACATTTGCATTCGTCTGCATCTTGGTAGCGAGGAGAGCGCCGAGTACATCGTTGCGAAGGCGATCAGGGACGGTGTCATTGAGGCCACTCTGGACCGCGAAAGGGGTTTCATGAAGAGCAAGGAGGTCGGCGATGTATACGCAACAAGAGAACCGGGAGAAGCATTCCATGACCGTATTCGGGCGTGCCTGGCTCTCCATGACGAGAGCGTCAAGGTGTGTATCCTCGATTTCCCCAGACAATCATATCCAGCTAACACAGTGTCACTAGGCTATGCGCTTTCCCATGAATCAGCACAGACTTGAGCTTAAGAACGCACAGGAGGCTCGTGAACGGGAGAGGGAGATGGCCAAGGAGATTCAGGAGGGCGACCTGGACGAGGACGACCTCGGCGGCGAGTTCGAGGGCATGTAATTATCTACCACCATCATACTGCGCTTTTGCTTCCCCCTCCCCCCCACACCTCCTTTTTGTTAAACACGAACCTTACCGTTCCTTGTAAACTTTGGGGGAAGACGAAGCGATCCAGATATTCGAAGCAAGACCCGGTTCGACCATGATGGTCCCAGCAGAGAGGAGGCGGGGTGTCTGGTTGGGCATCATTGTGTAAGGAGGAAGCGGGGAGGCGTCAGCGATGGTGGATTGTACTCTTTTTGTGTTTTCTGTGTTTTAATCTCTTCCTACCTTGCTTAGCAACATGGCAACGGGGCACTAGTCCGGGAGCGGGTTGATGATAGAAGCGGAGAGGGAAGAGAGAAGACCAAATATGGGAGGCAGGCGCCAGAAACTAATTACAAGGTACCTACCTACTTACTATGGATCTGGTCGTGGTTGTGACTTGCGGGCTGCTGATGTCGTGTTGGTGGTAAGGTATTGATTGGGTCGAGATGATGGGAGGAATGGAGCTGGTTCAAAGGGCTCAAAGTATGGCGTCTGTGTATTAGATATTTGTTGGCATCATCATCACCATCTTTCTCTATGCCGTTGTAGTCGCCGATCATCATTCTCTTGTCCGATGTTCGGCATTATGTCACCAGCATCGCGGAGGTTACGTCTTTTGTCCAGATTTTACCATGATGAGATCGAAGCTGCCGGGATGGCTAGAGGCAAATTTAGATGCTCGTTGGAAGGATGAACATATTCCCTTGAATGATTGTCTCTCTGAAGGTTTGGCATGACAGACCGTGCATGATGTGAGGTTCAGGCGAGGTGACCAAACTAAGTCAGGACGCTTAAGCTGCTCCGGCGATTGCTAGTAGCCAGGTCTGCTTGTTAGTAGCGTATGTGTATCCAGCTAGCGAATTTCGCTTCGAAGACTGGCCGAATTTGAGGATAAATAGCTGTGAGGTGAGATGTGTATCTTGCCAGGGATGCAAATATTAGGGTAGCCATTCTGATTCATCTGGTGAATCTAAGCTTAGCTAGCACGTGGCAACCCAGGAACCTTGAAGCTTGAACAGCCTCACGTGGTGGCGGAAATGAGTCTAGTCGTCCTGAGAAGGACAGGAACCCCATGACAGAATTGAGGAGCCGTTTCCTAGATACAAAGAGGTATCCGAAGCATCTTGCCATGCCCTTTATCCCAGCAAGCAAGGCGTATTAGAAATGCGATGAGGCATGGGCTTCTTCAGGTTGAATGGTATGGAATCCTGCCAAACTCGTTTCTCCCACCACTTAAGCCCTGTGGAGGGGGCGTGAAGCTCAGCTCCAAATCCCCACGCTGAGGCGATGATGTTGCTGTTATTCTCAATTGACCCACCCCTCCTCACTCCACCACACATCCCACAAAGCCTAAACCTTCGTATGTAAGGGAAAATTCCTTCGATCTATTGTCATCAAGGTTTATACCTTTTTCGGAGGTCCGCTGGCTCAATGGCAGAGCGTCTGACAACGATCCTCAGGCTTGACTAAACATAGTTTTGACTGGAAGGGGTTGCCAGGAGGTTCTAGGTTCGACCCTGGGTGGATTGCGAGATCATCTTTTTTGGTCCTCTGGCTTGCCGCAAGGCTGTTGCTTTGCCGTAAGTGTTTGCTGTTTGTGGAAAATCACTCCACATGTGCGTGATCATGAATCCCCTTGTTTGTCTCTTGTCCTTCAACTCCCCGACTAGATAGATGCTTGGCCTTTTATTCGCATGCCAGAACTTTTGTGGCCTCTCTTGACTCCTGTGTTCTCATCTCGAGGACCCTCCGAGTCACCGCCAGGGTATCTTCGCTTGCGGCTGGACATCGAGGGACGCCAGTGATCGCCTCCCATTTCGTCAAGCCAGCTCTGGGATCCATCCCCATCTGGCCTTTGCCGTGGCCACTCCTCCTCGTAGTCAGCATTGTTCAAGGGCGTGTAGCCCCTTCTCTCATCGGAGTACTGAACTTCGCGGTCCCATGCTGCCAGTGACTGACATGGGCTCCGCAACCAATTTCGAAACTCGTGCAGGAACAGCCGGACATTATCACGACCGAGGAATCCCGATAGCATATCTTCTGCTTGTCCAGCGCTACCCTGAATGTCCACGGTCTTGATGATAGCCACAATGTATTCCAGCAGGAACTCCGCATTGTCTCGCTTCCGTGATTGCGCCTGGGGCTGTGTTCCCTCCTGTGTCCTGCTGCTCCCCTCCGAGGTGTCTGATAGGAAGGCAAAGACTTGTAGCTCTCGTCTTATCCATAGCCTTGCTCGCGAAACTAGGTGCGGGTTTGTTGCGAAATAGTCCGGGGTTGGTGGCAGTCGGTACTGCGAAACACGATTCGACCCGACGTGGAGTGAGTAGAGCTGGTGGCGGTAGACATGTCGCCGACGCTCAATATCGCTCGCTGGTCGCGTCAAGAGACCATATGATTCCCGCAACGACCCCGGACTTCTCCTTCTCCGCCTCCTCCTCTGAATGCTTTCAAGCACAGGCCCCTCAGGCGTTTCTTTAGGGGCGTCCTCGACAAGGTAAAAGGTATCGTTTCCGGTCTTGCCTTTGTATTGGACTTTTGATATTGGAGCCTTGCAGAGCGGGCATGCTGCGCGCTCTTGCGTCCAGCTCAGGAGACATATAAGGTCGAAGTGAGCGTGAGCGCATGGTAGCGCAGTGCATGGCTCCGAGATGGTATCGAGGCATATTACGCAGCAGTCGATAGTCGGTGGCGGAGAACCGTTGGGCTCGTTGTTGCCCTCGATGTGATTCTGCCTGGATGAGGAAATCTCGGCTAGCGTTGTTTGAAGGACCTGGGCTTGGATATCCTCGTGCGTCGCTTCTTCTAGCATTGCTCACTGTCGAAAAGAATAGGTGTCGAAGTCTTGAGTTCGAGGAGGGGCAAGCCGAGGGTTGGGGTAAAGCTTAGCGTGGGTGTTTGGAGCAGTTCGGACGTCAGTGCGGGGTGCGGGGCGCGCCAAATTTCAAGGATACCCAGACGCGTCTCCAAGCGCGTCTGCAGTGCGCCAACACTCCACCATCGCAAAGACTCGTGATTTCACTTTCTCTCCCTCTCCCGCCAAATAACTCACGTCCCATGCCCACCTGAAAATGGACAGTGAGACCAAGTCCAAATACGAAGGCCAATCCCTTACGCTTCGAGCTGAGCTCAAGGCATGGGAAGGCGAGTGGGCTAAGGGACACAACCGCAAGAAGCCGAGCCGGGAAGATATCAAACAGAACCCAGAAATTGGTACATACAAACAACGCCAACTTCTCGCGCACATCTACTGACACTAGCCCTCTAGCTCAGAAATACAAGCAATACACCAAGCTCCGCGACATCCTCTCCGGCAAGATCCCTCCCGAGGCGGCCCAGTCCCAACAGCGCGACCGCAAGCGCAAAGACACCGACAACCTCCCACCGCAAACACCTTCCAAGCGCTCCAAAGTCCTCTACACCCCACGCAAGTCCGCCTCGCAAATCATTCCCGCTGATCTACCCGGGCCAGCCGCCGAGATCACAACCCCTTCTATTAGCCGAACCCTCTTCAGCCCCACCCTTCCCACATCCATCGGTCCCACGCCCCAAAAAGATGGCCGTGTCCTCGGTCTCTTCGATCTCCTGGGTCAAACCCCCTCCCGACCTGCCAATGAAGCATCGGCAGTTCCCCCGATATCCGCCACTCCTAGTCGGAGACGTGGCTCCGCGATGGACATCTCACGCACACCAACCACCTCAGGTAGGTATGTCCACCTCGTAGGGTTGACCACACCGCTGCATGAGCGACAAGGGAGCACCAACGTGCTAGGGGCCAAGACACCCTCTTCCACTGCACGCAAGTTGCAGTTCTCGACCCCTTCTTTCTTGCGCAGGACAGCAGCGCCCCTTGCGCCAGTAGACGAGAATGGAGAGTGGAACGTCGGGCCGCTGAGGCTGCCCAAGAAGCCAATGGTGCGGAGTCTGAGTAATATGGTGGCCGGTCTGAGGAAGATTGAGGACGAAGCACTGGACGAAGAGGAAGAGGCTATGAGGGAGATGGAGATGGAAGCCGAGGGCATTCCGGTGGCGAAGAATAAACCCCTGCCACCATTGCCTGTAGAGAGAGATCAGGATGGCGAGAAGAGTGTGTGCGGGGTGGAAGTGGGTGACAGTCAGGCCCCAGATCAGGCGGAACACAAGAAACACATGAGACAGGAGAAGCCTGCCTTGCTCGGCGGTTTCGATGATGAGAACGCCTACGACAGTTCTGATGCTGAGCAGCTTGACCGGGGTCAGCCGTTGAGGGTGTATAAGAAAAAGGGACAGAAGCGAACGACACGTCGTTCGAATCTCAAGCCGACGCGGGCCAAGAGACCAGCTGCAGCAGCTGAGCAAGAAGAAGACGACGAGCTGGTGCCAGAGACGCAGTTCGATGCGGCCAGAGCCGCAGCGGACGACGTGGACGGTGACGACCTTCTCGAGGGTTTATCAGGTTCGGATTTCGAAGGCGGATTTTCCGACTTCGACGATGAAGATGATGCAAAGACAAAGCCAAAGAAGACAGCGGCCAAGGCCAAGGGTAAAGCGGGAGATGGGAAGGGCGAGAAGGAAGGCACTGTCAAGAAGGCGGTGCGCATGGTCAAGGCATCAGCGCATGCCAACTTCAAGCGGCTGAAGCTGAGGAATAAGGGCACCAAAGGGGGTCCTGGCTACAACAGCAGGTTTAGGAGGAAGAGATAAAGGGATGCATTGTTTATTTATTTTTTGGCGTTGGTCGGCACAGCGTTTTCTGACTGGATGTCGGTTTATAGATACCATGGGTCACGTATATATTGACGAGCCTATCATGCGATTTAGACCTGGTGGTGATTTTGGCCCATGGAGGTCTTGTTGGCTACCCAACGATTTAGACGGGATAAGCGAAGTCGCGATGACAATAGGTATTCAATGTATATGTCAAACGTGTCGAACGGTGCGATACGAACTTGGACAAAAGACGAATGTCGTCAGAGCTGATGGGCGGAGCAAGTCGGGTTTTCAGCGAAAAAGTACACGGAGCTTGACGGGAGCCGTTCAGCCAGTTCCAACCTCCCTTCCCGCTAAAGCGCGTTGCTCTTCGCTATGCCCTTGAATTTCATAAATTCGCATTTATTTTATTTTACTGATTTATCCTTTTTCCTCACAGCCAAGCAGGGTATCTAATCAACACATATCAATCTTATCTTCTTCCTCTCCCCGCCAACTCAAACCTACACCATCCGAACAGCAACCCTAGCTGTCACCGTACTCCCCGCCGCGGTCACGGTTACGGTCTCCTTCTCCGTCACCGTCGTCGTCTCAATCAAGGTAAACGTCACCCTCGTATCCTCATTCGGCCCCTTATTCCCGCCCGCGCCGCCGCCACTCTCGGGACCCTGCGTCGGCTTCGCCGCTTCGCCGTCACCGTTCCCATCGCGCGTGCTGGTAGCAGTCGGCTCAGGCTGCGGTCTCCTGGTGCGAGTGCGCGTGCGCGGGGGCTCGCTCTCGTTGGGGCTCTCGCCCTGGTTAGGGGGCCCCTGAGGGGGACCGCCGCCGCCGCGGGGACGACCGGTAGGGTTGGCCGGGGTGAAGACGGTGGTGGTAATGGTTGTGGTTGGGGGGTCCTCGATGGGGATTACCTCGAGGGGAATTCCCGTGCTGGAGGGGGCGGCGGAGGATTCCGCAGCGGCCTTGGTGGTGGTGGTGCGGGTGCGGGTGATGGTGGTTTTGGACGTTACATCTGCCGAGGATTCTGCGGGGGGTGCGGAAGACGGGGCTTCGCCTCCGGGACGGACGGTCATGGTAATGGTGACTGCTCCGGTGGTGGCGCTGATGGTGGCGGTTTTGGTAAACTCGCCGGGGACGGACTCGGTGGGGGCTTCGGCGGGGAGGGCGCCGAGGATGCGTTCGGCGGTAGTTTTGTCGACGCACTTGAGCTGGACGCCCTCGGTGGTGTCCATTGGGAGGGCGAAGCAGGTTGTGCCGGAGGGGCAGGAGGTCAGAACGAAGGTACCCGCGGGGCTGCACAGGGCGGTTTTGCCGGTGATGCAAGCGGCTTGGTTCGCAAGGCAGGGGGAGTCCGGGGTGAGGGTGGCGAAGTCGGCGTTGAATTGTTTGGCGTTCTCGAGGTTAGACTGGAGAACATCTGGAGAGACGGTGCCGGTGGCGGCAGGGATCTCGGTCACCGCAGTAGGGATCTTGCTGTTGGGCGAGCCTGAGGGTTTGGCCGGAGCGCTCGAAAGCTTCGCAGCGTCCTCGGTAGGTTTTGCCTCGGCGGCGGTGGTTTCGGGGGGGGTGACGAGAGAACCACCACTGAGGAAGGAGGATACAGCTGGAGGGGCGGCCTCCGTTGCGGATCCCTTGAGCGCTTCGCCGGGGACGAAGGTGACGACGGTCGAGAAGGCACCCGAGCCGCTGTCACCGCTAGCTGAGTCCTTGCCCGCTTCGTCGCGTGCCCACTTCTTCGCGGCTGCTCCCCGTCGGTCGGGGATGTTGAGAGGTCCAGCCTCCGCAGCCGCGAAGAGGAGGGCGTAGAGTGTGAGTGAAATACGCATCTTGGTTTGTGATGTTG